TGAAGCCAGAGCTCCTCACTGGAAACTTGCCTCGCCGCATTTCAGTTACAAATGGTCTGTTTCCCGCGGCCCACTGGGACCGTTTGGAGAAAGGTCTTGCGCGTCTATGCCACAGTACAGAATGCACTCTGCACACGGGACAGAACTGCCTGCGAATACAGAGGTGCAGAGGACTCGCCCCGCACCGTCGAGGAAGTTACGTCTCACAGATTGCTCCAGTTTTCCGTCTCCTGGCCAGAGGCTCACTTTCCATCGAACAAAAGCATGGCATTATTGCAAATGGACACAGAAGCCCACATATTTCAGAACAGCGTAGGGAAGTACATGGCTGTCCCCACCCTGGGCCTGCTCTCTCCAGAAATAGTCTCTATTTTACTTTTTATGTGTCGGTTTGGATAGCGTGTGCCCCTAGCGAGTGTGCTCGGGGGTGGCGGCCCTCCCGAGGGGCCTGCTGTGGTGGGGTGAGTGCCGTGCGGGAGTCTGCCTGCTCCCTGGGGGCCAGCCTTTGCGCGTCTCCCTGGCCGTGTCGGAAATTACTTCCAAAGAGGGCAGATGGCGTGACCACGGCCGAGGGTCTGTGGTGAATGGGCGACTCTCCCAGGACAGCGGGGACTGGGAGCATGTGGCAAGCGGGAGGGTGGCCACACCCTCAGCACCTGGGGTGGGTGAGTGCAGACCAGGCGTGGGGCGGCAAGCGCGTGGTTGGTACCTGGTCAGAGTGGGAGAGGGTCAGGCCGAGATGCCCACAGCGTGGGGCAGAACCCGTGTCCCAGCTGAACTGAGCACCGTGAAGCTGGAGGAAGAATGGGCGAGGGGACGCTCCGGGGGGCAGGTGGCGGTGATGCAGCCTGGGCGTGGGGACAGGACAGCCATGTCTGGGAGTGGGACGCTGCCTCAAGCCAGAGGAAGGGCAGATCAGGTAGGCACTGACGCGGGTCTTGGGGCCACGTGTCCCGAGGCCATGGCCAATCAGCAGAGGAGGCCAGGCCCGGCGGGTAGGAGGGTGGAGAAGCCATTCAGGGGCCGGGTTGTCGGGGCAGGGGATGGGGGATGGGCAGCAGTCCCCTTTCTGTGTGCCATCTTGGTTTGGGGACGATGGTGCACTGCAGGTGAGGGAAGGTGTTGTTAGTGACAAGGCGATGCTGATGGAGGAGAGAATTAGAACCAGAGGGTGGTGTGATTCAACTGGCAGGTGGCATGGTGATGAAGGCTCTGGACTCCCACGTGGCCAGCTGTGGTCTGGGTCCTGGACCGGTGGCTTGTGTGTGTGCGTGCTGAAACTCCTGAGAGGGAATGGAGAAGGGACTGCAGCAAGGCCATGCCCCCGGGGGTGATTTCTCACTTTCCCTCTCCCTTGAGTGCACCTGCCCATGGCAAAAAGAGGAGAACAAACCAGAGGGCGATTCATGGCCTGCTCTGGAGGTCCCTGTGGGGTACAGGGGGGCTCTGTGAGGACTTGGCCACAGCTCCAGCTCATCTCTGCACCATCCTACAGCGTAGGGGGAGAGGCACAGCCAGAATGCAGAGGGAGGGCCCCCCCGATGGCAGCCGTGCAGCCATCCCTGGTGGCGGCAGAGCAAGCGGGCAGCCCTCTCCTCCCTGCCACAGCCTCTGGGCGCCGCTGGGCGGGCGTTGCTGGTGCAGACCTTACCCCTGTGGCTAAGGTCGGCCTCCCACAGCCTGTCCAGGCCTCCCTCGCTGGAACTCACTTCTCCCCAGGACCCTCCCTTGCACTCTTCTGTAGCTCGTGAAAGCCTCGGGCCCATCTTAGTCCGAGTCTCCTCGGGGGCCCCGACCTGGGCTTTCACACACCCCGTGTTCCCCGTGCGCACCCCAACGTGGGGGGTGGGTGCAGAGAGCTCGTGGAAATGCTTGCTATGAAGACTATGCAGGGCTGTAAACGTTCTTGCACCCAAGAAAACTTGTCCTTTAATTCCATCTTTCCACAAAGTCTTGAAGTCCCCTCTTGTCACTGACCTTGTCCCCAGCTTCACATTCACGTGTCCTGTCACCTAGCTGCACATCCATCCATGCAGCGCAGACCTGGTGTCAGCGGAACCCATGTGTTCCCCGTTGGGCTCCCCACTCCCTCCCACGCCCCCCATGACACTGCACCTGCAGCAAACGCAGACGCCGTCCCGGCCTCCGAGCGCACGTGGCCCCATCTGCAGAGGCCCCGAGTCTGGCCTTTCACAGCCATCCTCACGCCACCCCTGCAGGCCGCGCGCCCCCCAGCTTTGGGTTTAAACGCGACAGTCTGGCCCCCTCGGCCCGCCCTCCTGCCTGTCACCGTCCTTCAGACGACCGCGCCTCCTTTTCTGGCGCTCAGCTCCATTGCCATTTCCTGGAGGGGCTTCTCTTCCCGCTGTACCGGGAGGAGGTCTGCAGCCTCGCTCTCCCTGCGGGCCTGGTCACGGTGTCGGGTACAGCTGCCATGGGCATCCATCACCTCGCTTGTCCCTGCCCCTCCTAGGAGGCGCGCCGAGGACGAGCTCATCACACACCCCTCGGCCCTGGCCCCATGCATCCTCCATTCATCGGCCGACACATTGTGTCCACCGAGAATATCCCAAGGGCTTCTCGGAAGAGGCGATGTGCGAGCTGGGCCTCTCAGGGGGTCCGTCCACGGCCCTGTTCCACCCTCCCTGGAGCACTGCTTCCTGATGTGTGAGCTGGGCCTCTCGGGGTCCGTCCACGGCCCTGTTCCACCCGCCCTGGAGCATTGCTTCCTGATGTGCGTGGTGCTGTCACAGGCCTGCGTGTTCTCATCCGTCTACTCGCGTCCCGTGTCTCTGAGGATTGGAACCCCTCTCTGTGCCATCACAGTGAACGCTGTAACAGTTGTCGCCCTCAGGAAGACACGGGGCATGAAGACAGCAGGAGGGAGCGGGGGGCCGCAGGGCCAGGGTCGGGAGCTATGTCCGGCTCGGCAGCTTGGCCGGCCGCGGCGGCCCCCAGCCGGCCCTGTGTCCGGTGGTGGTGGTGGTGAGTTAGGCCCCGCACGCACCAACCGACTGGCCTTCGACTGCCGAGGGCTAGAAGGGCTTGAGCAGTTTTCAGGACTAACCGGCGGCAGGATTCCCCGTGAGGCCCACATGTGTCATGCAGTTTGAGGCCCACGTGTGTCATGGTCCCCAGCCCTGTCCTGCCATCTGGGCAGGTCCAGCTGCGGGACCTGCACCCCGCGTCCCTGCCACCATCCGCATCCCGAGCAGTGGCATCTCTGCTGGGTCCTGCTCTTGCAAAGAGGACAGGAAGTGGGAAGCGTGTGACACTCCAATAAAGGAAAGGGCTCCTGAAGTCCAGGGTGATTCTCAAGGTGCTTCGATGAATGAATCCAGGCCTGAGAGTTCAACTGCTTGAGGCTGACTGAGAAAAAGAAGTTACCAGGAGCCGGCAGGGTTGTTACAACCACGCTCTTAACCACCAGAGCCTCTTACCGGCTCCGTTGTCACAGCCAGGCTCTTACTCTAGGGAGAACACCCCAGGCCAGCAGGGGCGTGGTGGTGAAGCAGCTGGACTCCCACGTGGCTGGCTGCAGTTTGAGGCCCACAACTGGTGGCTTGAAACTCACACCAGGCGCGTGTGCATGCCTGGCCAAGATCCTGAGAGGAGAGCGGAGGAGGAGGGACTGTGGCCTGGCCGTTTCCATGGGCGTGAGTTTGCCCTTTTTCTCTCATTGACTTTGTCTCTGTCTCTCTCCAGTGAGCACACATGCCCTATGGCAAAAGCCTAAAAAAAAAAGGAGAAGAAAGAATACCTTTAGTTGGTACGTGTGTTTCTGGTCCGTAAACTGAAGTGCTGCTACCTATGTCCTGTAGCAGCATCCTCCTGGAGGTCCCTGGCCATGTCGGGGTCTCTGGTTCTGTGGGAGAAGAGAACAAAATGGTGTCTGGCATCTTCGGTGTGAGTTGGACGATGGATCCAGGTGTGAGACTCCCCTCCCGAGCCTCACGGGAAGTGACTGTCGGCCCCTGTACCCAGGACGCCCGAACTGCTGTTCTCAAAGGGAAGATGGCCCCTAGCAGGACAGCAGTGCCCCGAGGCCCCCGACACGGGGAGGCTGTGCCCTGAGGCCCCCGACACGGGGAGGCTGTGCCCCGAGGCCCCCGACACGGGGAAGCTGTGCCCCGAGGCCCCCGACACGGGACTGCACATGGGCTGGGAAGCTGCCCCTGAGCTGTGGATTAGCTTTGCTTTCTGTTTCCCGCTGCTGACTCTCCGTGGGTTGAAGGCAAGGCCACGCCGCCCTGGCCACGGTCCACCCAGGACTGTTGCACAATCAGAAAGGCCGAACCAGTTTGTCCAGGAGGGTGCGGTGGAGCCTCACTCCAGCCAGCTGCTGAGCCCTGGCGACGTCCCTGCTGCTCCGAGGCGAGAGTGGGGTGGACCGTCTCCCGGACTCGGCGTTAGCGAAGGAAGCCTGGCCACTTGGATGGTCTGCATTCCCACGACCTGGAGCTGTTAACTGCCAGCACCAGCACTCCCTGGAGGCCAGCTGCACCCAGACACCAGGCTGAGACCAGGAGTGACTCGACCCTAGTCACCCTCCGCCACCTGTCCCAGTCCTTGACCTCCCGGGTCCCCTGGAAGTCAGCAGGATTCGAACGAGGTCTGCTGGTCCCGGAACCGCTACATCCAGCCCAGCTTTGTCTGGGTTACTGGTGAGCTTTCTAAGGTGAAGGTGACAGTGGGGGACAGGAGGCCTTGAAGGCGGGTGGGAGAGGCAGCCGAGGGTTGACAGTGTCTCGGGAGGGCTGCAGTGGCCCAGGGTTTAGGGCAGAGTGGGGGCAGGAAGCAGTCCTTTCCACATGGCTGATGCGCCGGCCCGAGCGCCCAAGCTGAGGGGCGCTCCTGGCCTGAGCCTGCGTCCACGGGTCTGGGAGTACGTTCCCTGCTGGGCCAGGTGGCAGAGGAAGCTGGCCTCAGGGCAACGGGGCACAGCTCTGTCCAGCTGCGTCCCCGTGTCTAGCCAGGGGCGTTTAAAGGAGCCGGGGTTCTCGTGTTGTGAGGCGTGCGATCTCTGTGGAAGGGTTCCCCGAGTGCTCGGCCACCAGCTCCTGGTCTCACTTTCCAGACCGTCCTGGACTCTGGGTGGAGCTCGGAGCCGGAGCGCGGAGCTCAGCTGCAGGCCTGTGCTGCAGGCAGCCCTTGGTCTGGTGCCCTGCTCTCTGGACAGTTCGTAGTTTTTAGAAGTGTAATTTATTTTGTTCATGCTAAAGAGCACGTGTACACTCACAAGAGAGCATGAGCACCCCAACAGCCCTGCTCCGGGGCCCCCTTTCCTCAGCCCAGACCGCCAGGCTCTCGGACTCAGGGTCAGGCATGTTTCCAGGTGCACCCAGGATCCAAACCCACATCGGCAGTGTGGTCTGGCACCGCTGTGCAGGGTGCCCGTGGCCGAGTGGTTAAGGGAGCTGGACACCACATGTCTGATGCGGTTCAAGTCCTAGACCTGGCAGCTCGTGAAACACACCGGGTGTGTGCGCACGTGTGTCTGAAATCCCGATGGGGAGGGAGGAGAGATTTTGGTGTGACCACGTCCCTCGGGGTTGCTCTGTCCGTCTCTCTGGCAAAAGATTGGTGACAGCCCTGTGGGCAGCCACACCGGCTGGCTCGTGTGACACGCTCGTGCAGAGGTGGACGTGGTGAAGGTGGTGGACGGCCCTGGGAACACCCTCACACGTCTAGACCGTCTCGTAGAGACACCTGTGCGGGACTGGGACTCGAGCCACGCGGGCGGAAAGGATGGGTTTGCACTCGGAGCTGAACAGAAACCTGCCCGTCACAGGAGCTGTGTGACTCTGGGCTCCTCCTTCCTGTGCTGTGCGGACGCCCCTGCCTGGAGGGGCTGGCGAGGAGTGAGGTGGGACGTGTCTGAGGAGCCCGTTGCTCCCGGGAGGTGGTGAACGCTGTTCTCGGCGAGGCACTCCTGCGCCACGTCTCTGCTCGCGTGGTGTGGTGGCCCGGCAGGCCCCGGCGGCTCACGGGAGGCCGACCACGGCTGTTTGCCCACCTCCTCTGTGTAGGGCCGCAGAGATAAGATTAGAAAGTGGTTCTGGGCCTTTAGATCGTACAAGCCATGTATTTGCACAAGTGAAGGTTTGTTTGAAGATTTTCTCTTCTGTGCTTTTAACCCCTGGACTGTCTCCACCTGGCACTCTGGCTCCCTGTGCCGGACTCTGACTTCAGCTCGGTTCCGACATGGCCTCCTGGGCTGAGCCTCAAGCCCACCCGGTGCCTCCCCTCAGTGGCGATCACAGGTGGAGGCCGCCTTGTTCCTTGCTCTGGCTGACCGGCTATGTCCGGGGAGCTGCGGCTGCACTGCTCCGTCCTCCCCGAACGGCTCACAGGGCTCGAGCTCCTTCACGTGCTTTCTCTGCTGGCTACGAGGCGCACAGCGCGCAGAGCTGGGGGCAGATGCAGGGGCGAGGTGTGGGAAGGACAGGGTGGCCCTGCCCGGTCTGGGAGCCCCATCCCACCGTGCCGGCTCCTCAGACCCCATCACCCATGAGTATGTAGAGGCTCCCCTGTGGGTGGGGTTGACGCGGGTGCGCCACCGTTCAGGGAGTTCTTGACAGCGTTCACTGATTCACTCAACAGCCTCCTCGCCCGAGTTCGGTGGGAGGGCTCGAGGCTCTGAGCCTCGGTCTTCCTGGCAGTGCTTCCATCCCAAAGCTACCTGGAGCCCATCACCCGTCAGCCCCGCGCAGGCGAGACACGCTCACCACTCTGTAGGCAGGGCCTCGGAGCTGTGTAGGAGCCTGGACCCAGGCCCAATACTGGCTCTTCCCACTGCCCTGCCAGGATGCCAGGTCTCCCCTCAGAGGCCACCCTCCTCCGCACACGTTCACCCCAAACTGCCTGCAAGCTGGGTGGAGGGGCAGGGAGTGGGCGTGCTGTTAGGTCAGTGGTCCCCCGCAGGGGCACCTCAGAGGGTCCCCGGTGGGCGGTGACCAGAGGGCTGTTGTCTTGTCATTTCCGCACCGCGAGCCTGCGTAATCAGACACTCCGGGTTTCCAGCACCCGAGAGCATCTTGAGAGGTATTTCCACGCACCGTCCCGACCCGCAGGCTCATCTCCGACGTGGCGAGTGAGCTCCGGTGTGTACTCACACGTCAGCACACGCACCACCCCGACCCGCAGGCGTGTGTCCAACATGGCAAGTGGGCTCCGGTGTGTACTCACACGTCAGCACACGCGCCGTCCCGACCCGCAGGCGTGTGTCCGACGTGGCGAGTGGGCTCCGGTGTGTACTCACACGTCAGCACACGCGCTGTCCCGACCTGCAGGCATGTGTCCGACGTGGCGAGTGGGCTCTAGTGTGTACTCACATGTCAGCACACGTGCCGTCCCGACCCACAGGCGTGTGTCCGACGTGGCGAGTGGGCGCTGGTGCACGCCTACCTGGCAGTGCCCTGTAGTCAGAGTGCGGCAGCCAGCTGTCCTGTGGCCTAGCTGTCCCGGTGACAATTTCCGAGCGGCATCACCGAGTGGACCCTAAGGCGTGGTGGCCGTGCCTTTCGCTGCGTGGCTGCCTCAGCTCCTGAGCACCGTGCGTATGTGGCGGCCTCTAAGTTCTGCCTTAGTCTGCGCGCACACCTGCCCTTGGTGTACTGAGGCCGCTGGACCAGACGCACCCACGTTACCTATAGTGACATCCCGCCCCCTGTATGGTGTCCGAGGCCCAGAGGGTCTCGCCTGCCACTGCCCCGGGCCCACCCTCTCCATGTCGGTCCTGCGATTGTAGCAGACGTCAGGCTGTTGGTGCCCTCGCCCTGGTGGGAGCCGGGATGTGCGTGGCCTGCCCCTGGTGTGGCACGGCGTCTTACCTTTGCCCTGGGTTCTGACGACCCGGGTGGTCTGTCCGGAGGTGTCCACACTCACGGCGTCCCGCACTGACACACTACCACGCTCTCCTCTGTGACCCCACAGAACCCACACAGCCCTCAGGCGGGCTCTCCTCATGGTGCCGGTGGGCCCCGACCCCCTGGGCCCGGTGTGCCCTTCCGGCCCTGTCTCTTCACTGCACGGGGTGGGGGCCACGCGTTCCTCTGTGTCCAGGAGGAAGAGGCTCTCTCCAGCATGGGCTCCTGCCGCGACCCTCGGGCCTTGGGACCCCGCCTACCCCGCCCTGCCCTTCCCTGCCTTCTGTCCTGGCCTCCCGGGCTGTGGTGGTGACGCCCATGACAATAGGGGTGTCCTGCGTACATCGGGCAGGGAGCATCAGCCGTCCAGCCTGGTTGCCTGGGTGGGTAAAACGTGAGGCCTAAACCCAGGCCTTGGAAGTCCCTGCTTTCTGGATGGCTGGGGCCCTGCTCGAGTGACGCTGGGTCCACAGGGAAGACGGGGGCTCTGTCCGGCTTTCTGGGGCCTGTGCCTGCAGCTGCCTGTCACCTCAGCTGGAGGGCCAGGGCATGTGGCTCTGTGGAGGGTGTCCGTCTCACGCTCTCACCGAGAAGCGTGCGCTTCTTTAGTGGCCCACGCGGCCAGGAGGAGCTGGCGGCTATCTGTTACAGACCAGTGCGCCGCTTCCCAGAGATCCAGGGGCTGGGTGGGAGGGGAGGGAGGGCGCAAGGGAGGCAGGGCCTGCTCCTGCCAGCCCAGGACGCGGGCGGCTCGGCTCTTCTGTGTCAGCAGTGACTAGCAGGCAGGTGAATTTCCCGGCAGAGGGCCTCGGGTGTGCGGTGACGGTGCAGGTGCTCACGGAGGCTGCTGGGTGGCTCTTCTGAACTGCCCCGTGCCGCTCACCTGTGCACAGTGTGGACAGTCCGGCCAGTGCCACCCAGGCTAAGCCTCCCGTCGTCAGGGCTGGGATTCGGTCTTAGCCCTGCTCAGAAGAGGGCGCCGGACCCCTCTCCGCGCTCAGCCCTCAGCCCGGCCACGCGGCGTCCTGCAGAGAGCAGACTGCCCTGCGAGCGTGCTGTCCACGGCCCTTCCCCCAGACGCAGGGTGTGCCCGGGGTTCTCTGGGGTGGAGCTGATGGCGGACAGCACCCCCCGCCCATGCCTCGCTGCTCCGGGATCTCTGGGCATTTCAAGCAACCACAGACAGAAGCCGCCCTCCCACAGGCACGAGCACACAGGCTCAGGGAGAGCCCAGGGCCCGGGGCACTCACCCTCGAACCTTGAGTCACGGAACCCAAGCTGCACCCTGAGTGCCTTGGAGGGTGTTGGCTCTCCTCACTGTCACCTTTCCCCAGGGACCGGCCTCCTCGCCTCCAGCTGGTTGGCCACAGACGTGGGACCTGGTCCTGAGCCTCCCTGGGCCAGGGCCACGCGCCCTGGTCACTCCTCCAACTGGATCAAGTGCCCACCTGAGCTGCCCTGGGATTCTGTGCCACCGGGTTGATTGCCTGTGGCCGTGGGCAGGTGGGCAGGAAGTGATGTGGGCAGGGGGGTCTGGCTAGGGGAAGATGCCAGGATGGCCGCCCGACCCCTGTCAGTACTTTCTGCAGGTCGAGACTTGGCCCTCGGGCCAGGGCCCCTGGGCAGTGGATGGAGCCCGGTGGTGCCCGCACAGGAGGTTGAGACTCAGAGGCTCAAACTGCTGAGAATGCGTCTGATGGGCTGTGCTGGCTGGTGGCGTGGGCAGAGGGGTGGCTCAGCGCCAGTACCACGGGAGTGGGAGCAGGGCTCTAGTTCCCTTGTGCGGGGGCTCGCCC